GGGGAGAGGGAGGGAGTGGGGAGGGGGAGTGAACATCATGTGAGAGAGCCACACTGTGGGTTTGTTTCAGTGGCTCTCAGTCCACAGACCTGAATAGGAACGTGTGCGCACCTGCGAGGTGCCAGGCTCTGCCTGGCGCTGGAAATGGGAGCGACTCCAACGGGACTTGCTCCCAGCGCTCACGCACCTGGACAGGTCACCGTGCCGTGTGGGCAGGTCACCGTGCTGTGTGGGCAGCTCACCGTGCCGTGTGGGCAGGTCACCGTGCCGTGTGGGCAGCTCACCGTGCCGTGTGGACAGGTCACCGTGCCGTGTGGACAGCTCACCGTGCCTTGTGGGCAGGATCGTCTGGGGACTCCAGTCCCGCAGGGGTGGAGCCGCTGCCCTGGGGGCAGGTGGGGGTGCTTAGGCAGGAGTCCCCAGGAGAGCAGCAGGAAGAACTCCCCTGGGAGGGTGAAGCCGGGGCAGGGCTTCGTGCGCAGGTGGCTGGGGCGGAGGCTTGTCCCGGGAGAAGGGTTCTGTGGCCACATGGAGGCCGGCCAGGCTTCTGTTTAGACTGGACCGATGGGGTGAGTCCAGGGCACCCAGGGATGTCCCGGCAACACATTGCCCCCCCAGACCCACCTTCCCAGGTCTAGGGCCAGGGGACCCCTCATGGCTCCCTCACTCCCACTCTGCCCCCTGTGGTTCAGGCGGGTGCTGGCTGGTCAGTGGACAGGACACACTGACCTGGGAGGCGAGGGGCTCTCAGCCCGTTGCTGTTTGGAGGCGGGCACTGCCCCTGAGGCCATGAAGCTTTAGTAACTGCCCCCCACCCCCCAGCTGCGGAACAGAGCTCCGGGCTTTGCTTTTTAAAACCACGGAGGCGAGTGGGGCGTCGTCATGTTGGAGTTATTTGGGGAGCAGGCAACATGGAGCCTCAACAGCAAAAACCGGGGCAGGAAACGCAGCTGATCCACCATTTTGTGACCGACACGGCACCGACGTCACCTGCTGTTCGATGGCCGTCTTTTCTTAGGAAGGAAGCGGTCAGTCCAAGTGGGGGGAACACAGCAGGGACGGCGGCTCGGGCACCCACCTCCCCGGGGCATTCCAGCTGGTCCTGGCACCAGAGGGGCGTCCAAGCTTGCCTGTCACTCTGGTTCTCTGATGCCTGGGACTTGGCTGCCCTGGACGGGCGTCCTTCCCAGGCTGGCCAGGCCCTGCGGAAAGTGAAGGGCTCGCCGGAGCTCACCTTCCATGTGCAAGCCAAGCAGAGCCACCCCAGGGGCTCCCCGGGCCACGCACTCAGACACTGCCCCCTGCTACCTGCCCGCCCCAGGTCAGGGACCAGGCACCCAGAACAGCCCTTCGCCCCAGCACTCCTGACACTACTCAGCCCAGCTTCCTGAGCCTGCTGGCCGCCTCCCTGTGGAAACCACCAGATGGTTCTTGCTCAGGTTTTCCCCTCTTGGC